CAGCGCTTCGCGCATACATGCATACACACAGCACTCATCCGTGAGCGAGAACGGGAGTGGGACAGAGAGAGAGAGAGAGAGAGAGACTCCGATTGCAGCTCAAAAGCTGTGTTTTTTTTTTTACAGCTTCGTTCTTTGGTCGTTGTCCTGCTCGTCGTCGGCTGCTAGCATTTGTGCTTGCGTGTGGCGCTCGCTCTGCTTTGGCACTTGCAGTTACGTTTTGCTTTTTTGCACTCGTGGGGTATATTAGTTGACAACTGATTTCGAACAAACGTCAATTTGTATTTAATTGTGTGGAATTATAATTCTTTAATAGTTGAATAAGCATATTTGCAATTGTAATTTGAATATATGTTATAGAATGTGTTGTTTTCTTGTTTTTTTGTAGGGCTTCACACAGCCGTTACATTCTGTCAGAGTATACTTCAACTTGTTGTTGCTTTTTGTCGCTCTCTCGCCGGATGTGTTGTTGGTGTTGTTTTCGTTGTTGTTCTTGTTACTGTTGTTATTGGCTGGCTGTCGGGTTTAGTGTCTGACCGTTTCATCTGCCGGCTTACTTTTTACTCCTCCTGCCGCCTCTGCTCTCCTCTCCTGCGGCTGCTCTGCTCCTCTCTTCGTCTGGTGGGGTCTCTGTCTGCGTGTGTGCAACATTGTTGTTGGTTCCCCTCCTGCCCCTTTCTCACACTGTCTGTGGCGAGGACGTTCGTTGGAGTCGTCTGGGCAATTACAAGCAAAAATACGTTGCGGTTGCAATTTTACACACATTTTTATGCGCTCTGGTTTATTATGCGGGTGGTGCAGCAGCAGCAGCAGCAGCAGCAGCGAACTCTTGTGCCTCCCCCACAGCCACCACCAACACACACCACACCCTTCTACAGCAGCTCTTCAGCTGCCCTTCAGGGCCTAGTCTGCTCCCAGTCCGAGCGAAGCTCTCTTAATGTTCATCCATTTCCTTTGGCCCCGCTAAAAATGCAACTCTTATGCTTTGTTATTTTTACACATTTTATGTGTATTCTGCTTGGCCTAAGAGTGTAGCAGGGGCAGGAGGATGTGGCAGTTGAATCGATGTCCCAACGGGTATAGTTCATGTGGAAGGTAAGGCAAGGCCAGCTCGTGTAATAGAGCTTGTACCCTCTACTGTAATATGCCTTGCATGCCACACAATCCAAGAACCAGAGCCCCAAAGTCAAAGGATGGCAATGTCATCATCAGTTGACGTCGTCGCTGTCTCTGTCGCCCTGCCCCAAGACAAAAAACTTATGGCGCATATTTATTACGAGAAGCGGTAGACGCGTCTGTTCCCCCCAGTCACTCCCCCCACTCGCCTGCAGTGGGCTCAATTTTCAAACGATTTCAATGGAATTCTCAATGTACTATGTGTGTGTGTGTGTGTGTGTGTGTGCAAGGAGCGGGCGGAGGGAAGCAGCGGAGATGAATGTCTAAAGAGCCCAGACACGCATCGTATCGCGCCTTCTCCTGCTCCCTACCAGCAGCAACTGCTCCTTGCGGCATCAGCAGCAAGAACAACAACAACAACAACAACAACAACAGTAACTTCATGGAACAACCTCCTGCAACGGCGGCGCATAATCTGTTGATGCTTTTCCTTATTTTTCACAATTGCGTTTATGGACTTAGTGGGGGCTTTTGGTATAGCCTGCTAGGAATATTTTAATACTAAACGAATATTATGGAAACTTTACATATTCCACTGGCTCGAATGGTAAATTAATCAAATTTTTTCCTTTCGCCCAAAAGTTGAAACATTATTTTGAAGAATTTCTTCGAAATATCCCATAAATCCGCTAATAAACTTCACCCATTTTCTCCCACAAAGGGTATCCATTTATCGCATATTTTGTGCCTTTTCTCTTATTTTTTGCGGTGTTTTGTTGTTGCCTATGGCGGTGGTCGGTCGGTCGGTCGATCCCTCCTCTCTTTGCCGGGCTTCTCTTCTCTCCTTAATATTGGATGTTGTTTACGTTGTTGTGATGCCCTTTTGGAGTTGGCCGCCCCGACATCAGCGCTGGAGCAGGAGCACGACCAGCAGCCTGCGCCGGAGGAGGTGAATGTGAATTTTGTTATCGGACAAACTGGTTGCCTCGATTGGTTTGCTTTCATTATACATACTGCAATTATTCGGGTCGAGAATATAGAGATGTGTTTTTGTTTTACCCAAATGTGTGTGAAGGGTTAGATAAGGGCATGGCGAAATGTTTCTCAGACACAGGGCCGTAACCTAACATTTGAGCTGCCTTTTGTAGGCGGTACTCTGAGGATATAGCGGGAGCTTTTGTTACAGAAGAATCTCTAATTCGTGGAATGCTGGCCTAAGGTTGGAGCATATGTATATAATATCCCCCCACCTACTGGTTATATTTCTTGCAGTCGGCTTATCTTCTTTGCCATATCTCTCTCTCTCTCTCTCTCGCGCTCAAGTTTATTGCGGTTTCTGTTGCTGTTTCTGATCCTTTTGGTTTCTTACAGTCTTTTACAGCTATTGTTGCATTTGTCGCATTTCTGTGGTTTTTGTTTTGTTTTTGTTGCCTTCTCCGCTTTTTGCGAATTCCTTTTCCACCAAGCTGGACACGCGTTTCGTGTGGCAGCAGCAACAACAACAACAAAAATAATGAATTCCTTCTTTGGGCTTTAACCTCAAATTGGCTTAACTTCATTTATTTCACGGCATTGCTGGACATGACGGGACAGCGGGACTGAGTGAACGGGTTAAGATAACACACAAACTGGCGAAATTTTTCACTCTTTGCGGTTTTGTTCATAGCCAGAACAGGCGGGGAACAGGGGAGACGGGGGCACCGAAGCGAGCCACAGTTTATCTCTTAAGGCTTCCGTTCCTTCTGCTGCTCCTAAGCCTGGCACTCGTTTTAAATGGGTTTTGGCAAGAGTGAGGAGCTTTGCTGCCCATAGGTGTAGGTTGTCTCACACTCCTGGCTTCATGTCTAAGGATTCACTGGCTGAAAGCTCCTGGCTTATAATCCTGTGACTGCAGGACAAGTAATACAATATTTGTACCAAATTGTATCTTGGAAACGATTGTGCATGCCTTCTGCGGTGTCCAGAAGTGCATAGGGATATTGAGGCTCATTGTTTACTGTTTTCTGTGTGTCTGTTGAAAGTCACGCAAGTGGAGAATAAGTTCCAGAGGCAGAGGCAGGGGACAGAGAGTATGCATAACCTTGAAACGGTTCAATATTCCGCACAATATAGTTTTCGTGGTTCGGTGTTCGATATCACGAATCAGTCGCGTCGTCGTGGCACTTGGCTCCTGGCAGTACAAAATGCTGCAAGATGCAATGGAAATTACATCAAATTATGCTGCAATGCGAGCTAAATATGCGGCAGGGGCAGCCAGACCACGACGACTTGGCTGAATGTCTGAATATTTTGCCATTTTTCGAGGCTATATAATTCGCATGGCAGTCAGCGTCAGTCGATGACTGTAAGCTTATCGCTGAACGTCCAGTATTCACATCTCTGCGCGTCGCAAGGAGAGCAGAGCAATGCCACGTCTGTGGCATGAAATATTTGCTAAAAAAGAGACAGAGACAGAGAGAGAATATATATATTTTATTGCATTTTAATGTGCCACTGAAAGTAGATTTAATTGGCATTTTGTTGCAGCGGTGCATCGCATGTTGGGGCGGCACATTGATTCCAGTTTTGAAAGTTCCACTGAATGGCTTTAGATTTAATAAAAAATGTTACGAAAATACCCATTGAATGCTATAACCAACGACCATTTGAATACTAGGGATATTGCAGCAGTAACGACTTTTATTTCAATTTTCTTTCGATGCTTCCGAGTACTCAGATTCTCGCTAAGGCTCTCTCTGTCCTAAACGCAATAGCCAGTCTTTAATAGTCTTGATAATTGTTTAGTCTTTGCCATCACTTTATATTTTTGTAATCCATTTTATTGCCATATTCGCCCCACAGTCTCCCAGCAGGCTAGACTTTGGACTAGTTTTCAAGTCGAGAGTTCGGGGTCTGGCGGCTGTCTGGTTGAATTGTGTGGCGCTCCATTGGTCTCTGGATGGATTTTCCTTAATTAAATTCATTCTCACAGTGTGTGCAACATGTGGCAGAATCAGTGGAAGGAGGCAGCAGCAGCAGCAGCAGCAGCACAGACACTGGAATGCACCGGCAAACAGCCCGACTCCCGCTTCGATTTTTGCCATCTATTGCATAGTCACTGACTTCGACTTCGACTTTGACTCCATCCCGTCTTGGTCTTGGTCTTTGGATATGGTCGGGTCTGGCCTGGCCTGGCCTGGTCTGGGGTTCTCCTACCTACGCCCTGCCACTCTCCCTGGGCCCTTTTACTGCAAAATCAGGTTTCATACTGACTCCACGGACACGGACAGACGCATAAATCGCTAAAGTTCTTTAAATGCCAGCAAGCGAAACTCTGGAGGCTTCAGGCTCCCAGGTTCCAAGTTCCAGGTTCACGTTCAGCGTACAAAAAGTTTATAAATGTTTCTCATATTTTTAACACCAAAACCCATGCCCGGATCCTATGCCATGGGCTGTACGACTACTCCTCAGGTTTCTGTTTGATTTGACAACTTTGTTGCGACTCCTCTTCGTTTCGGTATTTGCGTTTGTGTGTTGCCTGCCAGCAAACTCTGCTCTGCTCTGCTCCTCCTCAAGCTTTGCTCTATATCGTAGCAGACAACTTCAACTTTATGATTTGTGTTGATTTAGGTTAGGGGCCTGCCTCTAGCCCAGAAAGGTGGGGTTTGAGATTCACAAAACAACTCGACAATGCATCCACAAACATATCATTAGATGATGTTTACGAACGCAACTTTTGATGGGGAAAAATGTACACAAAAACCTGTTCTTGACCTTCGATTTGTTAGCATAGTCATGTCAAAATCATGAGACTCTATTTTGAGTGCCAAGAAGTCTTCAATTGAAGTTAAATTTTCCACTTGATCCTTTGCTAATAATATTTTTTTGCACCATTCTACTTACAGATTGCTGCTCTTAATTATTATTTTGGTGTTGGTGAGTGCTGAATATATTTATTAAATATTGATTTTATTTGAAAGATATTTAGAGATAAGATTTATGGCAGGAAAACCTTATTCCAGTGACTAGAGTCGATTTTCAATTTATCATGCACACGACATTTATTTGTTTTTTGATTGCCTAAGCATTCTCTTTGTCATTTATGCTGTAAAGACTTCAGATCCCAAATCAAAATATCAAGTTCCCATATTAAGATGGGCCATACAAAATCAATGACAGCATTTCGATGTCTTTCCTCAAGAAAAAACCCTTTGGATAGCCTTTGGCCTAAAAGGAGCATCAAAGATTATCTCTTTAATTGTAATTTGTAATTCCCGGGATAACAAATCCTGTGCGGTATGCAAACAAATTAGTTTTAAACTTAAGAATTGTATGCAAATAGAAAGAAAAATTTCCACCATTCGATCTACACTTAACCTCCCCGGGGAAGCGGCGTACGAAAGGTTCAAGGGGTGTCTCCGGGGCAGGGCCACTGAACTGCGGCGAACAAGTCGTAAACGAATACATACTATGCCATGCGAGTACTTTGTAGAAGACTACGTACGACAAACAACTAAACCAACAAATGGCAAGGGAACAAGTTAACCCCAAAACGAAATGAACCCGAAACGCTGGCGGCGGGGACATTCGCGGACAAACATCAAAAAAAGATAAAAACTTGTAAGTCCACAAATGGACAAACACCGGGATCCTTTTCACACAGAGCAAAGCAGGAGAAACTGGTTATGTCTCTCTCTCTCTCTCTCTCCTGTGCTGTGTGGAAAATTAAGCTTACGAATCAATTTTCCCTTCTATCTATTTTTATTTCACAGATTTGTTTGACATTCACTTGACACTTTGGTGTCCGCCAAAATGCATAAATTAAATGCATGTCGAATGGGAATGGTACAAGAAAAAGAAAATGTTCTCGTTCTCTTTTTAAACCGAATGCTAATTAATCCCACGGAGGGACAAGCGGGACAGACAAACCGACCGACCAAATGGGACAGGGACTGGTAGTGGTACTCTGGTTATGGGAGGGCGGGTCTGTCAGGGAGGGATTTGGATTTAATTCTGCTCTGATGATTTTCACACACAAAAGCCCAAGCCGCGTGTCTCTGTCGGGATCCGGAACGGGGACACTTTTCCATACCTGAAGGAGGGTTGCTGTTGGGTGCTCTCCCACCTTTAACCCGCTCCGATTTCCTCGACCGATTTTCTAATCTCATGCATGTAATTGCATAGATTGCATCAGTCCTGTATTCTCTATTCTGTATCCTGTATCCTGTGTCCTGCCTCCAGCATCCCTCATTTTCGTTTTGGGCCCGTTGTCATCTCCTGGCTCATAAATAATCTGCATTCGTTTTCGCACAGTTTTTCCGCTTTTCGGGGGCAAAATGTTATGCCAAAGATTTTTCAAACAATTTTCTTGACACGCGCGATAGTTCTTCGGGCCTAAGCCCAACCTCAAACAACAACAAAAAGTGTCAAAAAAATAGAAGGATAAGGATAATAGTGCCAGCTGTTCTCCTGGCTCTATCCGGATCTCTCCTGTGCGCAACATTCCATCACTTCGCAGAGGGGAAACGAAACCCTCTGATTAGTTGTAAGCGAGCAACAACCCTCTGGTCCGCGGACTCTGCTCTAATTTATAATACCCTTTAGTTGTATTTCCTACATGGAGAGGGCATGATAACTTTATGCAATTCCAGGCCAAGTTAAGGCTAAGAAAAGGTTGGTTTGACCTCTCCCATGCCTCCATCCCAGTTCGAATCGCTTTGGAATAATTGAACAGAATTCTTAAAAGATTGCTCCATATTTTGTGCAGGGTATTTATTCTTCGCCTTTTACATTTCACTGCTGTGCCTCTTTTTTTTTGCACAGCAAAAAGTAAAATGAAAATTTGTTCACCCTATTCGGGGCTGTCTGGAGTGGAGTGCTGGCTGGTCGGTCCCCCGCCTAGGGGTTGTTGCAGCCCCTGTTCCAGCCACTGTTCTGCCTCTGCTGCAGTTCTGCTGTTGCTTTAGTTTAGTTTAATTATTGACTCAGTGCCGCCGCAGCCAGAACCAGGGAGCAGCCCTCTCAGCTCAACAGCCAGTCATTCAGTCAGTCAATCCGTCCGTTCGGTCACCGTCGTCACCCTTCCTTCTTCTCAGCCAAAACGGGCAATCGACATTGTTGCCGCCGCCTGCTGCAATTGGACTTTGCCCGCTCAAAGAAGTAATTCTTCGACATTCTCCAACGGCCGAGCACAGTGGGTACCAATTTGGGTTCTGCAATCGACGAAGGAGCATTTGTTTGGGGATTGAGGAGCGGAATCCCTGAAAAGTATCCGTTCGCTTATGTGTAATTTGCACTGTAACTTGTTAGTCCACTTTGGACCCACTGTGCACGGTGTGGTGCAGAATTCTTCCCCCATTTCTGCAACTGCAACAAGCGGCAACCACTTTTCGTTTCCTGTTGAGGGGAAACCAGCCAAACGACAGCGTTGGGCAGTTCTAATGCAAGATCCTTGAGGCACAGCATGGCGCACCCTCTTGGAGTCGGACAGGACTCGGACAGGACTCGGACTTCTGTTGCATTTCGGCAGCAACAATTATAGACGGCCCTTGGCCAACGCAAATATCTCTCTTGTACGGCGACTGTGAGGTGTTGAGGTAATACCTCAACATGCAAGAAGTTTACAGAGCGCAGAGTGCACTCCACTCCACTCCCACTCCCATGCCCATCCCCATCGCAACCCCAACCCCAACGCCTCTCTGGTCTACCCTGTGGTTCGTTCCACTTTCCTACCAGACTGTCTGAAGTGGCAGGAGCAAAAAGGAGCACAAAGAAGGAAGCAGAAGGAGCAGAGGCTTCAGGCAGAGCAAAAGAATTGGTTACCATGGGAGAGGGGTGCCCCAGCCGCTGCCTTGCTATTTCTACATTTATTTTTCTACGTGTCGTTTCATTTTACTTGTTCCTCTCTCTTTTTGTTGGGTTTGTTGTATTTAGGGGTGCGCTTCGTCTCCATGTACCTCCTCTACAATTTTGCGCAAGACACAAGACGGAGCGAGACCAGGTGTACCGCACGGGGTACGTACGATGAGTGCGTTGTTGTTGTTGTTGTTGTTGTTGCTACCTTCCACTTCTGTTGCCACATTTCCACCTTTTTCCACAATAGTTTTTATTTCTTTTGGGACATCTGCCTGCCATGCCCATGCCCATGCCCAACTGCCCTCCTGCCTGCCTGCACGTTGGCCCGTGTGCTGTTTGGTTTCTTTTTTTGGTTCACTTCCGTTTTCAAGCCAAGAGGAAGCTCCCACGCTACCCACTCGTGGGGAATCTCTCTCCCTCTTTCTCTCTCTCAAGCTAATTGCAGTGTCCTGTCGCAGTGTACTGTCCTTTGCTGTATTTAATAGGAAACGTAACCAGAACAAGAACTACTTCTCGTGCGTACAACAAAAGGCGAGGCCGAGGCACTCGCTCTCTGGTTCTGGCTCTACAGATTTACTGATCGAAAGAAGAATTTCCAAGAATTTCGTGAATGGGAAAAACAAAAGCGCAATCGCAGCCAAGGGATATACAGAGAGCAGCAAAGATACACCAAAGCAGACAGACACAGAGAGAGAGAGAGACAACAAACGAAAGAGATCTTCTACCTATGGTTTGGGACCCGATCGACCTCAACCTGAACCTGAATCTCAACTTGGGACATTTGCCAGTCCTGGGCTGGCTCTTGGTCTCTGCTCATTCCTCAGATCTTATGAATGTACTTGGCACAAGAGGGGAAAAGTGGGGGAACGATCAGCTTTTGTTGCCTCTTGCCGCTCTCTTGCTGTGCTGTGCTGTGCTGTGCTGGCTGTGTGGCTCCTCTCGTTATTGTTACTTAAAATAGCTGAACATGAAACGAATGAAGGGAGTAACGTATCCGAAATTTGGAAACCGGTGTCCAGACCCCAGCAGCAGTGGCAAAAGGTAGTCCAGCAATCCTTCAGGTAGTCCAGCCATTGTAGTCTCTCTCTCTCTCTCTCTCTCTCTCTCTCTCTTTCTGTTTAGTTAATGATCAACACTTTCATCAAGCCTTGTCAGTGGATGCTGCAGTAGTTATAATTCAAGAGCAGGTCTTGGTCTTAGAAAGAAAATGCGTGTTCGCGTATCCTTCAGCCTGGAACATTATTATATTATTCGCATTAAATTCGCGTGTGTAACAGTTTTGGTTCTTTGGTTCTAGAACACACAAATTAATTCCATTTGGGATACCCCCAGAGCTTATACCTAATTTTAATCATCTACAAAGTCAGAAGGTTTCTCTCTCTCTCTTTGTGATTTTATCTTTAATTTCTGTTACCAACTGTTCCATCACAAATTGTTTTGGGTTCTTGTGTTCCCCAAGGTTTCCCCTTATCAATATTAAATCTTTTTCCATTCAGCAAGTTTTTCTGTTGGTTTTATCGCTTCTGGTGATCCTTCAACAGATGTTTGAGTAGCTCTAAGGAATTGTTTTCACAGTTTTCATGGGTGTCCTCAAGTAGTTCTTGTTGGTTTCTGTTGGCAACTCTGTAGGGTTCGGATACCCACTTGGAACTTGGATTTCCACGATCGCTTAGCCGCTTAGACCTTATAGCGAGGGTCGAGCTCTTATATGATGATATTTCCAATTCCCCTTTGCCTTTCCGTGTATATTTTTCTTACTCTCTTACTTGCTGCTGCTTACTCCCCTTTTTGCTGTTGCTGCCGCTTTTTGTGGCATGCGCTAAGAAGGTTTATTTCCCTTGTGCCAGCCATAAAGCAGTAACAACGGGAACCCAGGCGGCATGCGGCATGCGGCAGCTGCAAACTATTTCTCCTTCAGCCACACAAACACACCCAGAACACACACACAAGGCAATACGTCAGACCGTCAGTCTGTCCGTCTGTTCGTCGCTATGTCAAACTCCGCTCATTGCTCTCATCGAACCCGAATGCAACACGAGCGAGCGCAAGCAAATGTCCTGGGCAGCCTGTACCCATCCCGC